GACTAGAGCTGTACGTGCAAGTTTTTGGCTCTCAAAGCTCATCCTTACTCATGTCAACTATACAAAATTATGCCAGTAGCCAACTGAGCTCCTGAGGGGCTCAGCAACCACCAGTAAACTCCTTTGCAGCACATGCAGGCCCTATTTAACCACTGATAAAGCACCCTGCTTTACAAACACGAAAGATTAAATATTTCTTTGACTGTTAAAATCAGCTCAAAGGCTTATATTTACAAAGCGTGTAATTGCTACTGTTGTGCGATTTCACCAGAGGGACTTCATTACATCCCCAGCAAAGCAAGTATTACATAGCCCCTTGTAAAAGAGCTGTCCTGCATGTTCGCATTCCAACTCCAAAATAAACTTTTGTTTCTCCTCATTAAAAAGTTTGTCACTTCACATAACCTCGTGGCTTGAGGCTGACAAGAGAGGTAAAATTCTTCATCCTAGAAGACAAGAAAGGAAGCTAACTAGAAGACTTGAGAAAAACACATTTCAAACAGTAAATTTAGGTAAAAAAGCCTGTTAATTTTAACTTACTAGATGCCTGGAAAGAATCTTAAGCTGCATCTATTAGGAATGGCATCAGTGTAGGGAATCTGTTAAATGGACCAGGTGGCCTATAAAGGCCCCCTTCTAGACCTGCTTTTTGTGTGACTGTGCAATGGAACTGAGCAAAGGCCACATTAAGCAATCTCTACGAGAACTTGAAGAGCACCTGAGAAGCTTCTAACCTATTTTTCAGTTTATTTTGTTCTTCTCTTCAAGTAAGGAATTAAAATATCTTAAGGAATTTGGACAGCAATTATAAGCCTTGAAAACAGCCAGCCTCAGGCAGTCCACTTGAAAACAACATTTCATGTTTTATGTTATGTTTTGCTTTCACAGGTTAAACTACTTTTCAGACTATGCTCCCATTTCAGCATGTATCTTATTTACTCATTAATCACTAGTTGAGAGTGTTTGATTATCAGTCACATGTCCAGTAGTTTTATAACAGGGAACCAGAGCAGCCTCTTTATTCAATCTGACAAGAAAATTTGGGAGCTACCTAGGAAGCATGCAAAAAGGCTCATAGAAATTGTTCTTGCCTCAACATGCACAGCAAAAGACCCAACTGCTCTCTGCAAGTCCCCAGTACTGTGTCTGGGGAGAAGCTTCCCCTGATGTGAATCACTACAGGGTCACAAAGAACAGGGTTGTAACAACATGAGTGTCACCCAGTAACTTTTCCTCAAGATGATGAAAACTCCGGCCTATACATAGATGTTAACTTTTCTACTTGGAATGATGAAAATAGTATTAATTCGCTGGAATTCAACATCCAGTTGCCAGGTAGCAGACAGTGGAAGCCATGTCCAGATGGCTAAAAGAGACCGTGATGAAAGGATGATGTGGATACAAGGCTGGCAAGGAGTCTCCAGAACAAAAAATATGCAAAGGTGAGACATTATTTCCTTTTATTTTCTTTCCCTTTTCCTACCCTTTATCTTCCTTCAGAAATACAGAAATATATGTGAAAAATATCCCTTATTTTTAAGGGGTATTACTACTCATAAACATAGATTCATTTTAAGAGTGTATCTCACCTAGAAGAGAAGTAATTACTTGGGCTAACAGAGCATATTCTCCTTGTTGAAAAGGAACATTTCTAAAAAACTTGAAAGAGAAAACAACCTGTTTTCTCCTCTCACCCTGCTCCTTTTCCTTTACAAAACACACAGTAAAAAGAACTACCTACTGCAACAATAATAAAATACTCACTCTTTCTCCACCACCTCCTCTGAAAACACAAAACATGTCTGTCTTCCTGTTTGCTTTCCTTGTACAGGCAGAGACACTGATGCAATCTCTCCTAAGAAAGGAAACACCCCTATCTCAGTCTGCATCTTGATCCCTCTCAGCAGCTTGACTAAGCAGATTAAAAGACATGTGCACACCAAGGCAGCATAAAAAACCCCATAAAATAACAAAAAACACTGACTGCCAGTGCAATGGAAAGAGAAGCAGAGTCTGCTGCAACTGCTCAGGAATTAAAACAGGCTGGAAGAAAGCAAACAGGTCAGGTACATTGGAGGGAGGGAACTTTCAGCATCATTCCCAGGCTGTCATTGTCTCCTTGGGCTCTGTGGGAACACAGAGATGGCAGCTCCTCCATAGCACTCTGTCACTCCCTCCTTTCACTCTTTCCCCACCCCAAAAAAAAAGAGCAGCTGCTGGCTTCTTCCATCACACCTACTGACAAGGTGAATCTGAAACATGGCAACTGCCAGCTCTTGACAAAGTGTAACAAATCAAAGCAGGAGCCCACCACTTGTGTTTGGGGATCACAGGAAACTATTCAGGCAAATAAAATATCCTACAAACAAAAGCAAGTGAGAAGGGAAAAGAACAGCAGTGTGATCATGCTAAGAAAGTGCATTTTTAAATGAGGAAGAGTCAACACTAATTTTTTTTCATAAGTAATATTTCAAAACTACATTTGTATAAACCACTAATCTGTTACTACACAGAATTCGGCAAGCAGGTAAAACAAACCCACCCAGCTTTTCTTGACACTTCTCTTTCTAACCAGCCCCCCATTTCACTTGGGACAAATTCAATCCTGCCTGCAAAATAACCAGTTATGCAGATATTGCACAAAAAGATAATACTTCGTTGCTCATCTTGGTTATTTATCACAAAAGGAGAATAAGCATGAAAAACAACAACAAAAAAGATGACATCATTGAAAAACCACAAAAGAAAAATATGCTGCATTATGGTGAGGCGTTCTTAAAAAAAAAAAAAAAAAAAGACAAAATAATAACAGTACAGAATTTATGTCCTCTGGAATGTTTCCACCAGAGAAGATGTGGGGACCCAGCAGTTCATATCAACAGGGAAATAGATGAGTAGCAATAGCTCCTGTTAGCATACACTGAGAAACAGTGGAAAAGAATGGATCAATCTATAGAGTATATCATAAACCATTGTACCATGTAAATAAAACCCATCATTTGTCACATACAACTGTTAAATCTAACTAATTCCTTCAATTTCTTCCAACGAGGTGATACAGAAAAACCATGATGGTTCCCTGCAGTCTGAAAACGTAAAGACAGTTTCCAGTTATAAGTCACAGCTACCCCTTCAAAAATGATCACCCAGTTTGTACACCAGGTTCAGCATTTAAGATTTAGGAGGTGCTGAATAAATACTCACAGGTGTGCTGAAGGAACAACCTAAAATATTACAGGACATGTTTGAAAATACAGCTTTTATCTATGAGTATTGCCTAAAAAGCTTAACTGACCTGTAAAGACAGAGACATGGTAAGGACTTCAGCCTCATAAAGGTTATTCTTAGCTTTGTAATTCAGAAGAAGTACTTTGTAAGTACAAAGACTTAAGGTAGCAGTAAACCACTGAGGGAAGTTTACACTACTGCAACCTCAGCCAATATTTTGAATGGGACTTGGAAGGGGAAAAACAAAACAAATTAAGAAGAGGTACAGCACTTAGCACATCAACTGCATATGCTGCTACACTGAGCTCCCAACAACACAACCCCTCAGTGATATGATCACCCTTCTCTTTTTTGTGGTATGTCCAGCCTCACCTAAAACCACTTTATACTAGAGTTTGCATTAGGGTGCTTCCAGCAGCATCTGCAATAATCATCTTTTTTAATCTGCTGGAGGAATCAGAACTCACAACACAATTTTTACATATGAAATTGTTGATACTGATACACGTTATAAAGCTTACAGGAACCCAGTACACTGACTTTCCAAGTAATTTTATAACAAGACAACGGCTCTGCAAACTACCCTCACATGCACTATAAACAATGGGAATGTTTTATAGGGGAATAGAAGATGAGGACCAAGAACATCTGCTAACCTAGTGAGGGCAACTGTAAGGGTTTTGTAAGCCTCACAGCATCCCATGACTTCTCAGAGTCTTAACTCTTGGGGAACTGAAAATCTCAGCTTGCTTTGACAGCCATGCAGTAGTTTCAGAAACACTCAACACCAACCAGTTCTATCAACAAGTGAAGCAGCCCTGCCCTCTCACCCCACACAGCAGTTCATTCCTGCCCTCGTGGCTCCCTCCCTTTCTGCAGGTGTGAGCCCTGGAGTGAATCACAATTAGGAGCCCCACTTTAGCATTCAGCTGAATCCACCTGCATTTGTGCCCTGATCCAATTTATCTGGAGCTAGACAAGTGTCCACTTCAGCACAAAGAGATGAAGTGGGTATAAACCATATCAGTTTGTTTCAGCAGCTGTAGTGTCATAAAAATAGAGAAAAACTCAAGAGCTTCTCCCCATTCACCTTAAAGGCAAACACAGCATTTGGTAGACAATTAGTTCTTTCCCTTCTCAATTTCACTGAGCCATGACTCCACATATTTCCGCACAAGGCTTCACACACTGGTTCCAGGTGCTTCAGCAGTACAAACAATGCTAACTGAGGTGAAGAACCTGTTGCTGTGCCAAAGCAGGCTACAGGGCATTTGCTCTCAGCTTCACTGAGAATTTGATTCAAACAGAAAAGAACTGAATTGAAAAATGCCTAGGGTATATAAGCATATCAACCCCCTGTCTTCATACCCAGCATGTAGCACATGTCAATTCACATTTACCTTGCATCAACACTTCAGAACAACTGTGTAAATATCCAATGCTGTAGTTCTCTGCCAATGCAAACTTGGATACAAATGTAATCTAAAGCTTCAAGAGCTTCTGTAGTAATTTTAAAAATCATAGCAATGTGTGCAGCTCTTTTTTCCAGATACCAGTTACCTATGTACACTGCTTGTGTGCATAATACTGTCTTAAAATCAACAGATTTGTTCCACTAACTCAATAGCCAAAGCCTATACTTCAGGATCCTGATGCAGAACAAACATGTGAAGCATCAGCACCCTCTCAGCAATGTGGGAATCACGTGTGATACTCTCATTTATAATATAGACAACAAGAAGAAAGCTGCATAGCGAGGCATTTTCACTTACGTGGTTTATATAGAGACTCTTGCGTTTTTCTCTCACTGCAAAAACACAAAATATGATAGAAATATTACATGACTATTTTTCCTGATTAAGCTTCTTATACACCATTTATAATAAAAAGAACAGGAGGCTATTTACGTGCAACATTATAATTGCTTTTGCACTAACCAAGTATATTTATATAACAAACACAGAAGAAACACATATCTGTATGCATAAAGGCATTTATGTTCACTAGCGTGGTGATGGGTTAAAATTCTCATCCATTGGGATACTTCACCAGGTGCTGGTCCACATGGGCAAGCTAATATGCAGTAAGCTGCAATCCAAGGTAGCAGTGGCTTGGCCATTCTTGCCCAGCTCTCTGTGTGGGCACTCCTGAGCCACCAGTGCCTTCATCCAAGGTACCTTGCTGCAAAGTGGCCTACGCTACTTTGCAGGTATGAAAGCACCTAAAGAGCCACACCACAGAGTTGGCAAATTCTCATCACAGCTTACTGTGCACTAGCGCCCGCAGAGAAGCCGTGAATCCGTACACAGTGGTGTATGGATTACACCACTGCCCCCTATAATGATCAGGCACAAGCCTGAAGCTATTACTCATATTGGATGTAACAACAAAAGTCTATTTCCTTGGTGAGTATGAACCAGTCACCACAAGCAATGGTTGCAAGTCAAAGCCACAATTAGCCAAAACAGTCAGAAAGTAAATAGCAACAAAAAAGGAGATAGATGTATAGAGCCTTAATTGTCAGGAAAATGCTTATTACAGCTGATTATACATAGTCTATTTCATTTTTTTAAAGCACTTCCCCAATTAACTCACCCCGTAGAGAGCCTGCAGAGCTCTGTTCCAGTGAAAATACCACAGCATTTAGGATATAACTCTGGAGGCAACTACCACATAAATCAAGCTGCAGGATTAAAATAATAATGGTTTCATGCTGTAGGTGATTAAATGCACTTTGGTGCATCATGATTTGAAAGCTATGCAAACCCATACACTTAGCAAAATAAGAGTGTTCACAATGGTGGGACAGCCTATCCATTCCCTGTTGGATGAGAAGCCATAATCTGTGCTTTATTATAAGCAAGCAATCTCACATAAACAAGGCTGTATGTGTGAATACTGTGAAATAATTGTATTTAATGCAGACATAAAATGAAAATAAAAAAATATGAAAAAACTTGGAAAAATCCTTACATAATTTTCCTCCCAGGGAGCAGAAAGGAGAATCACACATGACAGATGTTAGCCATGTCAGAATATGCTCAAATCCACAATTACGGACATTGTATAAGAAACAGAATTAAACAGGAACAGCAGAAAAATTCTGATGATCTAGTAAATTGTTAAACTGCTTGAAATCCTGCTAAAACACTGCAGTACACTTAAGTTCCACACACTGCATTTATCACCACACATAAGACATCTACAGGGGAACATAAAATGATGGTAGGGACTCCTAAGAACAGCTAAAGTATTTGTCCAGTATCACATATTGCAATGTACAGGCAGTAAACAATTCTGATAAGCTGTGTGCAAACCTAATATAGGCTTAACTCAAAGTTCATACCTATTAACAGTGAAATTGTGAACACAGTTAAGTATTTAACAGTCTTAATCACAAATAATTATACCACATTCTAAGTTCTTCAAACCCTACAAAGACAGCTGGCACATATACTCCAAATTCAATTTTAATGACCTTTATTCCCCTTAGATTTTTTTCTTTTGTGTTTGTATCCCTTACTCAATTCCCCATAAAGGTACAATCCTCTACTACCCAAAGCAAGAACATCACTCACAGCTCAATCCCATTTGCTGTCTCCAGAAGACTATGTTAACATATTTATACAAACCCTTCCCTTTTGCCTCTGAAGCACTTCTTGTGCACATCTCTGCAAGCACCATGCTGACCTCCTTTCCCTGTCTCCCTATAGAACAGCAATTCAGTTAGCCTGGCCTCTCAGGTGAGGCATTCCAGGAAGGCAGCTGCTCCTTTCTGTGCTTCTGGCTCATTCTGCCATAGTGTAAGGCTCAACTCTCTCCAGAACACATACCAGTGGGGAGCCAGGCAGAGCAGAAACCCATTCTGTCCCAACCATTCTTTTATAATCACAATCCCCATCTTAAACAAGAGGAAGCCAACTATTGCACGAGGCAAAATGACTGTAAAGAGGTAATTCCATCACTTGTCTTCAGTCAGATAAAAACACTTTGCTGCTCGCACAAATCAGTGTGGTCTGCAGCAGGGCTGACCATGTTAGAATGAACCAGCATTTTGCAGCATAAACTCCTAACTGCAACTCCAGGATTTTGGGTTTCAGGCATAGGGTTTTGATGACGCGAAGCCAAACAGATTTGGAGTCAGTTTAAACAATCTAAAACTTCGAAGTGTTACTCTTCAATTGCAGCCTCAGATGGTGCCAAATTAACTCAGTTTTCCTCATTCTGCAGTTGATGACCTACTCCTGTTGCTGCAGAAACTTTCAACTGTTATTGTTGAGCTTTTGCAATAGGAGGAATTTACCCTGAAATTTAAAGGGAACGAGGAAATACACACAGAGGCATCTGTGTGTACATGTATGTATATATGTATTTTTCATTGTGCTGTAATAAGAACTCTCACTGTGCCATTTCTATACATTTATTTTAATGTCAATCATATCAGGATCAAAATCAAATTCTTCATGATTACAATTATAGGAACATCTTGTGTTTTGGAAGTGGAATTCCCAATAACTGGCAGCTCATCCAATTCTGTTTTAATTGAGAAGACTGGTCCCAGCTAACACTAAAGACCAAAAGCAGCTTACTCCACTTCTACCTGCCTATATAAATACCATTTGAAAATCTTTTTGTTGGAAGCCCATTGTTGCACTGATATTGCAAAATTTAGCCAGTACATTGAATGTGTAAAGCCCAATCCTAGTTAGAGGGGTGCAGCTGGAGCCCACTGACAGGAAACACCATTACCAGCACCCCGGAGGAGCAAACACTGCCTTCTCGCATGAAGAAAAGGTAGTTCCATTGTTGAAGTGCTATTTGGAAACACTGGGTTATTCACCCCCACACACTAAATAGTACTAAATAATAAAACCCACTAAATAATGGGTTTCCAGTCACCCACAGCTCACTGGCCAAGCTCAGCAGATTAAGGAGAACTTGCATAAAGCAGTCACAGAAGTTAAAAACATAACAGGCAAGATTCTGTACCAGCTCCCTAAATAGGAAGAATTCCACACATATGATTCAGTAGCTAGAAAATCCCCAAGAGTGATGGAAACATTTAGAAAAGCTCATCTAGCTAGGAATCAAATTAATACTTATTGTCATTTTAACTTTTCTCTAGATTCACTGAATGCTCAGGTAATTACAGATCCATTCAGACTACTGACTAAGAGGGGCAGGACAATTTACATCCTTAGTACAGCATCCAGGCTTCACAGAACAAAGACAATTAGAAGCCACTTAATAAAACCAGATGCCACATCCTGTCTCATTCTGTTTGTTGCTCTTTGCTCACATGTTGATCACAAGCAGGTCAAGCACAGCTTTGCCAGAAGAATGCTGTAACACTACCAGTGAGGCTCAAAGAGCACAGGGCTACCAGAGAGCCAAACATGGAATTGCCTAAGGTAACACTGGCAAGTCACTCTAGCACCTAGTGATGGACTTGGCCATTTCCCTTTGTAAAACCATGAGATGTACACTCACAGCCAGAGCCAGATCCTGAATGAAACCCTGAATCCTGATGTCACTTGACTCTCTGTGTATTGTAAAATGTGCATTTTAAACGTCCACGGGTCTTATCTATAGAAACATTTTAGCTTACTGTCAACAGGAAGGTTTTCCAGCCCAATACTATTCAAGTAATGGAGGAGTTATTTGCCCAAGTTAGGTGTTTCAAACACAGCTAGCTCAGCTCTCCTCTTCTACATCATCTGAAGAAGTCTTGGGGGTCCCCTAGATTCCACAGTAACCTCTCAGATTACAACCCTACCTGCCCTGAAAAATCCCTCTATTTTCCTCTTAGCAAGCACTTTATTGCATTTTGGTTAGGCAGCACCCTTGAACAGGATAGTAACTCCTACACCTCACTTGGTTCAACAAGGGGCCCAAAGTACAGCCAAGCAAAATCCTTAGTACTGGGAGCTGTCCCACCAGAACACAATGGCTCTTGGCAACACATCAAGAGATAAATGTTTGTAGAATCCTGTTATTTTTATACAAACAAAATAGGCTCTGCATTTTTTCCAAGGTATCAAGGACAGCTGAACTGATCTTACACTCCCATTGATAACACCTCTATAATGTTTCACTGAATTCATTGCCCTCACTCAAAAACGTGTTCTTCACATTACTTAAACTAGAACAAAGCTTCATAGACCAACTCTAACATAGGTGTAAAGATTTTTGTAAAATGCTTAAAATGAACTTCATATTGCCATAAATTAACTGCTCCTATTACAAGTAAGAATCATCATCCAGTCTGGTCAAAATTTTAGTTGTTGAACTTGGGTCTATTTTGTCCTTTCAACAAGCTGTAACAAGAAACAATTAGCATCCATATGGGATTAGACAGTTTGAAAACACAGCAAATTCACTATAAAACAGACATCAATCCTCATAGTACAACTATAGAAATATTGCCATATTCATTTGCCAGACTACCAAACCAGATTAGTACGGTAAATGGCATCCAAACCCAAATAATGAGGCATTGAAACAATCAGGGCTGAATTCAGAAGGAGAGTCTCAAGGTCAAAGGAGGTACTCACATAATCAACTCTTCAATTAGGGTCTAAATGTATATCCTCTTTGTTCTAGTCATGCTCAAAAACTAGCAAAAAATATACAGTAAGTGAAAACTACATTATTTTTCAAGTGATGTGTTTGACACTGCAATTTACTATGTAAATCAAAAGCAGCATTTATAGGCAGCAGAAAGGAGGACAAAGAATTCATGCTGAACAGTCAGAATTAAAATGCAGGAACTGCTTTGAAAGTCCTGCTAGAAAATAATGTGTTTTGTATCCATTATACATTTATTTCTAAACCAACATATCATACATGTCCAATGGGGAACAAAAGAGCCACAGTAAATGGCTTCTATTCTACTAACTCTATCAGGAGGCTTGTTTAACAAATATTAATTTTAGAGATGATTTAGTCTATGTATAAAAAAACCCAACTAAACCCCAGACAAACCTGATTATGTAAAATCCATAGCAAGAGAAGAAAAAGGAATGATGGGGTAGGATGGGAATTATTTTGTTAAGAAAACCTAGTACTGAACTTATTTACAGTATAATTATTTCAGAGAAACCCCGGAATGTCTTTTTAGCTAATATAAGCTAACATTTTTTTTAAAAAATTATTTTCTACACCTTTTTCAGAAGCTTAACGTTCAGAGTGCTAAAAAATTTTAAAAAAAGACAAAATATTTTCAATTCAGAGAAAATATTTCTTAAAATATAATTATATTGAGCTCCATCCATATTTGTACTACTGATCTCAAGACAATTAACTAAAGGTGTGACTACTTAAAACTCTAACATGATGCCTCTAAATGCCTCTTTTTGGGGGAGAGGGGGCCATTACATATTAAAGGACTATCACATGCATTCTAAGAGAGGTTTTAGAGATAACTACTGTAATAAATTCAGTAACCTACCATCTGTTTGTGATTTACTGAGAAATATCGTACTGGCCCGTGGATGATCTGATGGGTTGAATTCCATGTTCAAATCTGGAAAGAAAGCACAGCACAAAAACCATTTATGATTATTCAATGGCAGACACAGATTTTCTCATTTTTTTTAGTAAGACCAAGTTTACATACTTAAGCAGCTACTGTAAAACAGAATCCATCTTGAGGCACATTTTTTTATCCTTCTTTGCACAAGTGGCTCTTTTTGGCACACAAATCATTTGCATCAACACAGCTTTGGGATTAGACTTCAGTTCTAAGGGCTGCTTTCGGATTAAAACAGATAAAGCAGCTTGAGAAACTGGTATACAAGAAGTCAGGAATTTCCCATTTACCACCCCTTTCTTCCCACCATGCCCCAAAGCCACAGCTTGGCACAGGAACACAGCTTGTTATATGCACTTATTGAAGAATTAAGTATTACAAACAAATGCACAACCCTCTACATATAGACAGGTTTCCAAGATTAGACATGATTTTAAAAAAAAAGTAGTTATTGATACTGAATGTAAACAAGTAAACTCTAGGCTAGAGTGTTTTATGTGATCAAGATTAGAAAAACATGGCACTTCCACATAAACACTCTTTGCTTTAACAATTTGTAAAAAAGAAACAAAAAACTCCCACAACTACAATAAAGATCTCAAAAACCCCCAAAAAACCCAAACCAGTCCTAAAAGATATTTACCAGTTACAAATTCAAATCTATCATACATAATACAAACCTCTATGAATGATTTTCCTTATCAACTTGAAAATCCATTGAATTTATTTGTCCCCAAATTGCACTCTACTACCCCTTTGCTAAAGCTTACAGGCCTGTATCCACTAGAAAACATGCTAAAAAAATATGTACTATTTTAGTAACATTTCCTTGCTCTCCCAGGGTGGCTTTCTCAACCCCAGCTCTCTTAATATCTCCAAATGTACATTCTCTTGTATTTTAAGCAGGCATTTATGTGAGATTACATAGGAGCACTGATATTTTTGTCTTCTGTGATTATCCCAGCATTTCTACAATTGTCTCATTCCCCTTCCATATCCTTGTGAAAGCTCAGTAGAACTGGAAATTAAGCCCCAGGTATTAGGAAAAGAAAACAAAGTCATTTTGCTCCAGGGTCAAGTTCTTCTGTCTACAGCTTTCCCTGTAGCTTTTCCTATCCCTGCTCTCCTTGCCCTTCTATTTAATAATTTACTAGGTCTTCCACTTGCCTGCATTTTTCTCCTTACCACACCTCTTTACAAATGTACCTTCTATTTGTATTTTTCCATTTTATGCTCTCTTGGTTTCCTTTTCACCTCCCTGCACTCTGTAGCTGAGATGAGCAGCCTGACATGCTGCTGGAAACCTGGGCACAACTTCTGGAAAATATTTGATCTTTCTACAAGGAAGACCTGAGAATGCAGAAGTGCAACTTCTCAGTTGCAAATGGTCTTCTCATTACTATTATCATTATCATCCATGCCACAAAGGAAAGGGAATCTGAGGATTTCAAGGGAAAGCTATTTTGATTGTCCCAGAAATCAGACAAGTTTGGAGAATATCCTAAGAATGTCATCTTATGTTAGGAGTTCTGACTTCAAGGGACTATGAACTAGAATGTTTTCATGTTACCCTATGCATCCTATTTAGACATATAGAAGAAAAAATAACCATTCATT